CATCCATGTTATGAGGGGTTTTGTGGATTCTTCATTATTCTTTAGTGTTGCATAGTATTCTATTGTATGTATCTCCTGTAGTTTGGCTATCTATTCCTCCATTAATGGGCACTTAGGTTGCTTCCATATCTTTGCTATTGTGGACAATGCTGTGATGAACATGGGTGTGCGTATATCTATTTGTGCAAAAGACCTCTTTCAAAGTGTTACAGAGCAGAGATACCACTTTGAAGACAAAGATGTGCCTGATCCAAGCCATGGTATTTTCAGTCACCTTATGCATGTGAAAGCTGGACAATGAAAAAGGAAGATCAAAGAATTGATGTCTTTGAATTGTGGTGTTGGTAAAGAATACTGAAAATACTACGGACTGCCAGAAAAAGGAAAAAATCTGTCCTGGAAGAATGTTCCTTATAAGCAAGAATAGCTAGACATTGTCTCACCTATTTAAGTCATGTTGTTAGAAAGGACCATTCTCTGGAGAGAGATATCATGCTGGGTAATGTAGAGGGTCGGCAATAAAGGGGAAGACCGTCAATGAGATGGGTTGGCACAGTGGCTGCAGTGATGGGCTCAAGCATAGCAGGAATTGTGAGGATGGCACAGGACCAGGCAGGGTTTTATTCTTTTGTTGTACATAGGGTTGCTATGAGTTGGACCTAACTTGACAGCATCTAACAAGAACGACAACACAGTGTCTTAGTTATCTATTGCTGTTGTAACAGAAATACTACAAGTGGATGGCATTAACATTTTTTTTTTTTTCTCCAAGTTTATGAGGCTAGAAGTCTGAATTCAGGGTACCAGCTGTAAGAGGAAGGCTTTCTCTCTCTGTTGGCTCTGTGTCTTTTTCCAGCTTCTGTTCCTTGGTGATTTTCATGTGCATGGCATCTGTCTTCCCCCTTCATATCTTGCTCCTGTGCCTCATCTGCAGTCTATATCTAAAAGGTGATTGACTTAAAACATACTCTACACTGGCATAGCCTCTTAACAAAGAAAACCCATTTCCAGAACCACAGTTCTAGGGGTTAGGATTTATACCACTTATTTTTTGGGGGGACATAATTCAATCCATAACATCTTGTTAGGTGCCATTGAGTTAACTCCAACTCAGTGACTGTAGAATAGAACGAAACACTGGTCATGTGCCATCCTCACAATTCTTGCTATACCTTAGCCCATCATTGCAGCCATTGTGTCAATCTATCTCATTGCCCCTCCACTTTACCAAGCATCATAATCCTTCTCTAGAGAATGGTCCCTTCTGACAACATGACCAAAGTAGGTGAGGCAAAGTCTGGCCATTCTCGCTTCCAAGGAACATTCTGGCTATACTTCTTCCAGGACAGATTTATACATTCTCCTGGCAGTTCATGGTACTTTCAGTATTCTTTGCCAACACCACAGCTCAAAAGCATCAACTCTTCTTTGGTCTTCCTTATTCACTGTCCAGGTTTCACATGCATATGAGGCAACTGAAAATACCATGGCTTGAGTTAGCTGCACCTTAGTCTTCAAAATGATGTCTTTACTCCACTTTAAAGAAGTGTTTTGCAACAAGTTTGCTCAGTCTTATTTCTTAACTGCTACTTCCATTGGTGTTGATTGTGGATCCAAGTAATATGAAATCTTGACAACTTCAATTTTTTCTCTATTTTTTGTGATGCTGTTTATTGGTCCATTTGTGAGGATTTTCATTTTCTTTATGTTGAGGTATAATCCATACTGCAAACTGTAGTCTTTAATCTTCATCAGTAAGTACTCTAAGTCATCTGCACTTTCAGCAAGCAAGGTTGTGTTGTCTTCATATTGCAGGTTGTTAATGAGTCGTCCTCCAATCCTGATGTCACGTTCTTCTTCATATAGTCCAGTTTCTTGGATTATTTGGTCAGCATACAGATTGAATAAGTATGGGAAAAGGATACAACTCTGACACACTCCCTTCCTGATTATCCTCTTGCTCTGTTCATAACATAACAGGAACAAAAACAAGAAATACATAGGACCTAGGAGAAGAAAGGGAGCTCTGGTAGCATAGTGCCTAAGGCACTTGACTGCTAACCAGGAGGCTGGTGGTTCAAACCCACCAGCCACTCCTCGGAAGGAAGGTTGGGCAATCCTACTTCCGTAGTGATAACTGCCTTGGAAACCCAAGGAGGGGTCGCTAAGTATCGGGGCCGACTCCATTTCAAATAACAACAACAACAACAACAGGAGAAGAAAACTTTGAAACTCTTCTGAGGGACAAACAATGTCCTTTAATGAAAAGACTTACAAAGATGTTATTTCTCTCTAAATTGATTTAGAACATGCCAATAGATTTTTGTTTTTAACTAGATAAATTGATTCTAAAGTTGATATTGAAACTAGCAAGAGTATTTTGGAAACTTAAAAAAAAAGTGCAGTACAGGAGGAATTCTGATAGAACTAGATATTAAAATTATAATTAAGGCAGTTTGATTCTGGCTTTTGAGTAGACAGAATAGTTCAGAAATAGCTCCATACTTCTGTAGGCATTAATATATAATAAACTCAGCAGTTGAATCAATGGGGCAAATAATTGATCCTTTAATTTGTAATTTGGGGACAATTGGTTAACCTCTTGGAACAAAGAGTTAATATTTCTACCTCTTCATAAAATAAATATCAGATAAGCTAAAAAATTATACATAAAACTATAAAAGAGCTAGATGAAAATATGGAAGATCTTTTTTTATTCTAATCTTACAGTGAAAAAAACTTTAAAAAGACAGAAGACCTAGAAGTCTTAAGAGAAAAGAATGATAAATTTGAATATGTGAAAAACATAAATTTCTACACTGTTTAAGTAAAAGTAAACTAAAAAAGTGAAGATAGTAAGAGAAAAGAAAAATTTTCTTAATATATCAAGTTAATCAAGTAAAAGACCAATCACAAGAGAAAACAGTCATGGGACAGTAAAAATTAGTCCACAGAAAAATGAACTTACTTTTATTAAAAGGTGCTTAGCTTATCTGGTAATTAAAGAAATAAAAGTAAAAGTGAGATATTATTTTTCACTTAATAGATTGGAAGACATAAAAATGATACTGCACAGTATGGGTGAACATGAAGGGAAACCTGCATGGTCAGAAACTGTTGATGGAAGTGTAAATTGGTACAGTTCCTTTGGAGGGCACTTTGATGGTATATTTCAAAATAAATAATATGCCCTTTAACCTCACAGTTTCATTTGTACAGATGTATTGGTGTATAGTTGCTGTGCAGAAAATATGCAACAAAGTGTAATGGAATACAGTACAGTTGAAAAAAATAAAGTAGATCTTGATGTGCTTATATAAGAAAATCTGTAAGAGTATTAAATGAAATAACAGGTCTAGAAATTTTATATGTGTATGTTTAAGAGAGAGACATTTTTCAACAACAGAACTGTAAGAATGCATAAGAAATATAACACAGGATTACCTTTGTGTAAAGGGACTTATTTTTGTGCCATGTCTTTTTATATAGATTGTATTTTTAAGTATCATGTGCTGCATATATTATATCTTTTCCAATAAAAGCTAGTTTATTAATAACAACCTATGCTTCTGTGAGTCCACATTGCCAAAATGTTCAAAAGAAATTGAGATCAGTAGGAATTTTTATGATTATGTATAATCATAAGTTTATGATTATGTATAATCCATATATATGTGTGTGTGTGTGTGTGTGTATGTGTGTGTGTGTGTGTGTATATAAGCAGTTCTGGTGGCGTAGTGGCTAAGGTATTTGACTGCTAACCAGAAGGCTAGTGATTCAAACCCACCAGCCACTCCTTGGAAGGAAGGTTGGGCAATCTACTTCTATAGTGATACTGCCTCGGAAATCCAAGGAGAGGTCACTATGAGTTGGATCTGACTCCACTGCAGTGGGTTTGGTTTGGTTTATGTATATTTATATAAAATGTAAGAATAATTTTCACATATTTTGAAATTTTTGGATTTCTTATTTTTATGAGTGCTAAATTTTTATGACTTGTTTTAATAAATATTATATTCATGTAATTCTTTATTGCTAACTTGAATTTTATATTCTTTTTCTAGCAAAAAATGGCCCCATTTATGATGTAGTTTGGAATTCTAGTTCTACTGAGTTTTGTGCTGTTTATGGTTTCATGCCTGCCAAAGCAACAATTTTCAACTTGAAATGTGATCCTGTGTTTGACTTTGGAACTGGTCCTCGTAATGCAGCCTACTATAGCCCTCATGGACATATATTAGTATTAGCTGGATTTGGAAATCTGAGAGGTCAAATGGAAGTGTGGGATGTTAAAAACTACAAACTTATTTCTAAACCAGTGGCCTCTGATTCTACATATTTTGCTTGGTGTGCAGATGGTGAGCATATTTTAACAGCCACTTGTGCTCCCAGGTTACGTGTTAATAATGGATACAAGATCTGGCATTATACCGGCTCAGTCTTACACAAGTATGATGTCCCATCAAATGCAGAAATATGGCAGGTTTCTTGGCAGCCATTTTTAGATGGAATATTTCCAGCAAAAACAATAACTTATCAAGCAGTTCCAAGTGAAGTACCCAGTGAGGAACCTAAAGTTGCAACAGCTTATAGACCTCCAGCTTTAAGAAATAAACCAATCACCAATTCTAAACTGGTAAGTAAAGTTTTAATACTTCAGTAGAAAAAGAAGATTTTTTTCACCATGAAGTTCTCTGCACCTTTTTCTTATGTTCACTGTGGTACTTAGTACCTTACTAGAATATAAACTTGAGGGCAGAAATTAGTGCCTACTACTAAAGATAGTGAACAGCTCATATTGGTAAATTGACAGTGTCGCCAATTTGAAATAATTTACATTTTAAAAGCTCTGAGAAGGGTAACTGAGTATGAAAGATGGGCTTCGTCAATCAGAGCTCAAACGCTAAAGCTTATCAGGCAGGCAATGTAAGTCAAGATGAGTGGGAGAGAATGAATGGTGAAAGGGAGAACTTATGCCCTATTTAATGGACTTATGCCCTATTTAATGATATAGCAACTACTCGGGAATAACGGGTTGCTTCCGTATGGGATTTTAGGCCATATTTGCCAAAATGTTTGATTTTTCTACACAAAACAAATCTGAACATTTATGTGAAATTTCTCAATTTTTAAAACACTTTGTTGGCCAAATAAAACAAATTTGTAAGTCCTCAGAACATCAGTTCCCTGCTCATTGAGTTTTGACCAGAGTTTTGATCAGATTCTAATCATTTAGGGGCTATCCCTGCTTTTAAAATGGTAGCCTTTCAGCACTCAAGGGAGATTATTTGGTAATGTTCAGTTTCTGTGATGGTGTTGAAGGATAAGGCTGCAAGAAAGACCAACAATATTACTGGTACCCTTAGAAAGGTGACCCCATAACTGGTGTAAGCTGGGACTATGCCAAGTAAATGAAGAATGTATAGTCTCTTAATTATTTTTAGGCAGTCAGGGAAATAATTTATCAAAGAATAAATATTCTTATGCCTTCTTTATGCCACTCCTTATATCCTACAGATAAAAAATAGCCTTTCCTTTTCTATTAAATAAAATGTAGTGGTGGTCTATAACTTTTTGACTTCCATTGAAATGTTCAGTTTAACAGTTTTTGTTTTAGAAGTAATTTAATAAAAATAAATAACAAATTCTGTTGATTATATTAAATGTCATTAGCTCAGAAAAGAAAGTTTATAGTGTCTTGGGATCTTTCCTATCCCTATATTTTTAAGCTTTTCTTACCTAAGGTAAAAACAAAATATCCCAAACCCTGCTTTCTGAATATGTGTGAGATGGCATGAAAAGAAGAAATTCTGAATTAGTAGATAAGTAGATATTTTTATTTTCTGATCCATAAAACTAACTTGTTTTGATGAGTGAAAGAAATTAACCTAAAAAAGATGATACTTTGAAAATGATGATGATAAAATTAACTAAGAACTTGTTAAAACTATTTTCTTTTAACATTTAAGATTTGCACTGAATTTTTGCTTTTGCATATGACATGGTGATTATGTGATCTTATGAAATTATTGCAGTTAAAGAAACTACATGCCTACTAATAAGACATTAAGAAATTTCTGTTAGTTTCTGATTCCAGAAATGAGTGCCAGAGAAAATCCTGTTATGAAGTTACTAGAAACAGTGCAGTGTTGTAGATAATTTCACAAAGGAGAAGAGTTACAGAGAGGAAGGGAAAAAGGTGTTGGGATTCTCCCTTTGAAGAAAAAATTAACTTTATAAGTAAAAATTCATATATAAATTAATACTTGTAAAAATTATTTTTTGGCTTTCCAAAAATATTCTATATTGTGTTCATGGAAACTGTCTCATAATAATTGATTTACTGAAGAAATGAATTTTATTAATAAGAATGAAACTTCTCAGTGGTGCACAGTGGCCACATAGTGCTAAAGCCAGAAAAGCTCACGATCCCTAGTAGTCATGGGGATTTCCTCCAATCTAAAAAGAAAGCCTATCAGTGAATACATGAGGCTCATAGGTGTGGAAGAGACTTGTAACTTATCATTTCACCTTGCAAAATTTTTAATGGATTTGCCATTTTCGAAGAAGTTCTCATGAGCAGAAACTGTTTCAGCCAAGGCAAGGTATTATAGAAGAGTTTGCTATTGAAAGAATTATCCTGTTTATATGTAAAACAGATGTTCAGCAAATATTGTTTCTCTTACCTAACATTGTATGAAGTATGGATATAAAAGAGATGAAAGAAGCTTGCCTTTTAGATGTGTCTATTCTACAAATAGGGGTTCTCATATACTTAATTTGCTTAAAAAACAAAACAAAACAAGCCAACTCACTGTCATTGAACCTATTTTGACTCAGAATGACCCCGTTGGGTTTCCAAGGCTATAAATCTTTATGGAAGCATACTCCCCCATCATTCTCCTGGCAAGAGCAGCTGGTGGGTTTGAACTGCTGACCTGATTAGTAGCTAAATGCCTTACTGTGCCACCAGAGCACCATCAGTTGGCTTAAAATAGGGTATATTCACACAGAAGTTTGACCTGAAATAGTTAATACTGCTACTAAGATAGATGACTTTATGTTTTTTTATTTATTTCTCTATATTTTAAATGTTTGAGCTCTGTCCATTTCCTTGTATGGCTTATAAGTAAAATGTAAATCTGAGACCATAGTGCCTAAAGCATTTGACTGCTAAGCAGAAGGTTGGTGGTTCAAACCCACCAGCCACTCTGTGGAAGCAAGACTGGGTAATCTACTTACATAAAGATTTACTGCCTCGGAAACCCAAAGAGGGTCGCTGTGAGTTGGAATCAACTTGATGGCAATGAGTAAGTACTCAAGAAGCTTCATGGAGAGCTGTTACCTTCCATGTGCTAAGGTCATAGGGCCTAAGACACAGTTAACACTAAGATAATAGCATTGTAGATGAATCTGGTAAGGAGGTGTAGTGCTCTCTCTTACAGGTTGCCTGAAGTGATCCTGGAGGTACTTAGAACCTATATTTAATTCCCCCTTTCTGTTGTGGAATATAGTTGATATATGGCTAAGTAAATATCTGGTCATAGAAAGGATTGTCTTCATTCTCAAAGTCTGACAAGCCATTTAATTTTTTGTAGACCTCTTTGTTATGCTAAACCCAGATTTATAATTAGTCACCTCTTTCTTTCTAGTTGACTTATTTTCTTATTGTCTATTTTAGTCTTTCATTTGCTTTCATTTTTAATTTTCTCATCTTTGATTTTGCAAGTAAAATCTAACAAGTAATTTTTCATGCAAAGAAAATAAGCAAGTCAACTAGATTTCTGGCAGTAGATCCAAAAAGACCTCAAGAGAAGCTATTGTTGATGTCTTATTTCATAAGAATTATGTGTCAGTAGTAGTACTAAGAAAAATTCCATAGCTAAACAAACTAAAGGAAAAGAATTTTACCACTCTTAGATAACTGAAAGATAGCATGTGTCATTCAAGGAAGATCCTAATTAAATATATCCTGACACTTGGAGAGTGTCACTACTAATAAAAGTTTTGAAATAGTCTTTGAATTGATCCCATAGTGTCAAAAATTGTTTAATTTGCTGTTGTGTATGTTTTTAAAAACATGGACCCCATTTCAAAAGCATTTGTTTTATATTTTCCATAGCATGAGGAGGAACCACCTCAGAATATGAAACCACAATCTGGAAGTGATAAGCCATTATCAAAAACTGCCCTTAAAAATCAGCGGAAGCATGAGGCTAAGAAAGCTGCAAAACAGGTATTTGGGGTACTGTCTCTTCAAAACAAAACAAATATGCAAAAACACCAGTTAAATTAGCTTTAAGCCTTAAAATGTAAGGGAATGTGGTCCTAGAGACTTGATTGTTAAATTATAAAATGTAACTGGAGTTAGCCTTAAATAACCAAAATGTCTTTAATTTATGTTTGCTTATTACTTTTTAAGTAGTACTGTATGCATAGTGTGTGACTGAGGAGCGTGGACCTGATCTTTAACCTGAGACTGTATCAGCATTGTGTGGTAGTGTACTGGAGTCTGTGTGGAATGATGTAGTTTCCTTCTTTAAAGCATAGGTTTGTCTGGAGAGGCTGGAAGTTACATGACTGTAAAGGCATTTTGTCACTCAGTATTATATTACTATAGGACATGATTCTTGATGGAATCTAAACTAATCAGAAGTATCCAAACAATGAAATTATTCCAAAATAATTTTTAATTTGATTATGCTGTTGAAAAGCTATACCAGTGTAATAATTGACACATAAATCATGATAGAATAAGACTCATGGTAACAGTGTGATTAGCTGGCCAGGGGATATTTGGTTGGTGGTATTTCAGTGACCACATTTTTGAGATTCAGACAGGGTGGGGTAGATTTCTAATAGTTGATTACTTTATCATCAGTACAGTCTTGGCTGATAATGCTTGAATTTTGGCAGATCTAGGTTGCTTATGTATTTAGGTAGGCAGTTATGATTTTAAGATGTAGAACTGCATTATGCAGTCACATTTTGCTAAAATCTGGGCTTGAAGAAAATCATCGTAGTTCATATATTTCATCTCCAGAAATATCTTTAAATAGGCTGGGTGTTGGTCATTCCACGTAAAATAAACTACTCTTATATGTTAGATTTGTATAAAAGTGCAGTGTGCTCTTTGTCAGTATGGGAGGGTCGTCTGCTGCCCATACATTACACATTGTTGAGCAATCCTCTTGGCATTGGTAACCCTGATATTTCATGGAAATGCCAGAATTCTTCAGGGCAAATACTATAAGGAATGTATACAATTTAATATAGTTAGTATAGTCTGTTAAGGCTTTTCTTTAAAATTTGACAATATAATGTTTTAGGATCTTGAAAGCCATGTGATATATCCAAAATACTTATATTAGTTAATACAGAAACCTCCTAATTTACTCTACTAAGGTCATTCCATGTCTTTTCATTTTTGTCATTTTATTATATTACTAATATATTCTTTTTCTTTTATTACTTATTCTATTACTTTAAATCTTACATCTAGCAAAGTGTTCCTCAAGACAGTTATATAGTAAACACATTTTGGATGTCTTATACTGTGGATTTTTTTTAAGCTGTATTTTACCTATTATGGCAAGATGTGACATTACTTCATAAGGTTTTCAATTCATGAAGATCTTTTCATTATATAAAATGCAGTATGAAAGATAAAATCACATATTTGGTTTCTATCTTTTATATACTAAGACTGTAGGGAGCTCTGGTAGCATAGTGCCTAAGGTACTTGACTGCTAACCAGAAGGGGTTCAAATCCACCAGCCACTCCTCGGAAGGAAGGTTGGGCAATCCTACTTCCGTAGTGATACTGCCTCGGAAACCCAAGGAGGGGTCGCTATGAGTCGGGGCCGACTCGACGGCATATAACAACAACAAACTACATATACTAAGACTATATTGGTTGAAATACTTTGATGTTTTCATTTTAGAAAACTGCATTTTTAAAAAAAAAATTTCCCACAGGAAGCCAGAAGTGACAGGAGTCCAGATTTGGCACCTACTCCTGCCCCGCTGAACACACCACGAAATATTGGCCCTCAGTCAACTTCTGGAGACCCGGAGACAGACAAAAAAATCAAGAACCTAAAGAAGGTGAGATGTATATATATTAAAGGAATAAGTGAGAATTATGTAAAGATTGTGTGTAGTGGTTTTCACTGTTGATTTCTCACTATGAAGTATTCTAACTTAAGAATGTTACTGATTTAGCTCTGCTTACAAATACTTAAAGGCTATTAGTTTTTTAATTATTGATTTTTTGAACAGAAATATGGTGACACTTTAATATTTCATAAGACACCTGTAACTTAGATAAGAACAGATTTATCTCTGTTTTGAAGATGAAGAAACAGAAACAAAAATAAGTTTATTTACTTACCATAAATAAGTAACCTTTCAACCAGTGTGTTAAAGTTTTACGCTGAGGGTAATAGCAGGTCCCTAGAGTCCTTCATATTTCTTCCTGCCATTCTCTGTCGAGCCTTTTCAAATGGCAGTGTGAAGTTTCCCTTAAAGCCAAAGATGTCATCCAGGTATGAGTATAATGAGGTGCTGAAATAAATGAGGAAATTAGTCATACATTTTATCTCTCTCTCTCTCTCTCTCTCTCTGTCTCTCTCTCTCTCTTTCTTTCTTTCTCCTCACTCCTCCTTTATTAATGTGGTTAGGTTTCAAAGACCAGTTTGTTATGCAAAATCCAGTATTATGCAAAAATGGAGGGTGACCACATGAGATCACAAATGGAAGATAACTACATCATTACATAAATGCCAAACAACTAAGAGTCATGGCCCAGCCAAGTTGACACATAACCTTAACTATTATTGCCAGTGTTAACTTTTGTTACCATGGGACATACATCATTAATATGCAAAATAGGCAAAATGAGTAGATTTGTTTCCTGTTGTCTTAATGCAAAATGTCAGATAATGAGGTAGTAGTGAGAAGTAGTTGTACACACACATGTTTTATAGATACAAGGTTAATCAAAAGCTTAAAAAAAATATTTTCAATTATCATGTTCTTAACATTTCTAATTTTACATTTAACTTTTAAAAGATAGTTTACCATAGTATTTTAACAGACCATTTTTGATACAGATGAAAGGTATTTGAATTTCTATATTTAAGCTACACATTCATATATTTAAGTTGTTGATAAAGAGATTTACATTCTAAAGTGGGTTCTTGCTTAATTCATATTTGATGTTTACAGAAACTAAAAGCAATTGAACAACTGAAAGAACAAGCAGCAGCTGGAAAACAACTAGAAAAAAATCAGGTATTTTCTGCACTTTTCACTTGGGCTTTTAGTAACCAACATCCTTTTCCTTTTTTTGTAAGCAACTGTTTGAACAGTTAAGAGAGCACATAGATTTGAAAGCTATATACCATATTCTTTTTTAAAGTTTTTACTCTTAAACAAGAAAGGATTGGGGAAGAATTTGTGTCGATTCTGGGGAATGAGACAGTTACTATTCCTAAGCCCTGTACTGATGCTACTCCTACTGAAAATGATGCCAGTTTCTTATATTAGACAAATTAAAAGATTCTCTTCCTTCCTTTGTCTAAGGTTGTTCTGCCCTGTTTGTTCTTTCCCTCCTCTCCTAAACACTTTTTAGCCCAAATGGAAAGTGGAAATTTTATTGGACCCAAAGCAATATAGTAAGACCGCTTCTCTCCTTTGCCTCTTTAATTCATACTGGATAACGAATTGAAATTTTGTTTTAAGTCTGTATTTCTTAATCTGTGTGTACCAATGATCTCACAAAGTGTCAGAAGTATTTTTTTTTCCTTTGCTATTTTGGCTTTGGATCCAAAAACACTGAATTATTTTATTTTATTTCATTTCTTATTTAGTAATTGTATTGTTTTGAATTTTTCTAGTTGGAGAAAATTCAGAAAGAGAAAGCCCTTCTTCAGGAGCTGGAAGATTTAGAATTGGGTATTTAAAGATTCACATAAAGGAAATTGGTTACCGGAAATCAGTGCAAACACATCTTCTGTTAAATCCATTGTCTTACATAGAGTATCTATGTGCCCACACTTACTATTCATCTGTAATTTTAACCTTTTGTCCAACATTCTACATATGTGTGTACTTATTTAATAATGTCTATTAAATTGACTTTTCCTACATACTGTATCATGTGAGTACATGATATAGAAAACAGATATGAATTTTTAGCTAAGCTTGACAGATTGAAAGACAAATGTCATTGCTTTTCAGTAGAAAACAATATGTACCATATGAGTGAATAAAGGCATTTTAAATCATTTTTGGATTTAAGTCCCTACGTTAAGAAATCCTTTATTAATTTACATGTTAAATTTGGGAAGATTTTCATTTGAATATATAATACAGCTTTTACAATCCTAAAATATTATTATATTGTGAAATTTTAAAGAAAATCTTTAAAACTCAGATTGTACTGAATATATTATTTATATTCTTTGTAGTATTTGAAGTAAAGATTTTTTTATTAGTTCTGAACATAGATGTTTTGGTTCTCTAGTGCCACTCTAATAGGAATACCACAAGTGAATGGCTTAAACAAACAAGGATTTATTCTCTTACAGTTTAGGAAGCTAGTAGTCCAAGTTCAAAGTGCCAGCTCTAGGGGCTGGATGAAAGCCCCTCCACCCTGGGCTTGCTTCCGGTGCACTGGAGCTAGAGGTGTCTCCACTCAGGCAGCTGCTGACTGGTGAGGCTAACAAGCCCAAGGTTGACAAATTAAATGGTACAGTCCCAATATTACCAAACAACATGGCAGGTCACTAGTTCAAGTCTAGAGAGAGTCCCGAGATTGGCAGGAAAACATGGCAGGCTGCTAAATGAAGATTCAGCTACATGCAGCATCTGAAAGTGCCAAAAAGCTGCTGAGACCCTTTTCAAAAGTTCTCCTTATGTACTGGAAGCAGACCAAATCCCTGAGGCAGCTATTCAGCTGCTTCAGTAGATTCCACCATGGCGTTGATTACAAATCTCATCATGGGGAATAACTACAGCCAGCTGCCCAGCCAGCCACTCAAAACCCAGCCCAGCCAAGTTGACACATAACCTTAACTACCACCAAACTCTAAACCAAACTCACTGCCGTCAAGTCGGATGCAACTCATAGCGACCCCTCCTTGGGTTCCCGAGGCAGTATCACTACAGAAGTAGATTGCTCAACCTTCCTTCTGAGGAGTGGCTGGTGGGTTTGAACCACCAGCCTTCTGGATAGCAGTCAAACGCCTTAGGCACTATGCCACCAGAGCTTCCACAGCAGACTTTAAAAATAGAAAATAGTAAAACATTTTATTTTGATATCTCAAATAATAAACCTAATGGTTTAAGGATGAGGTAAATAATTTCTAAGCATGAACTATAGTTACTTTGCTTTAGTTAAGTCTTGACTGTTTTGATTGTCTGTTATGATGAAAAAAAGATGTAATGATAAGCCAATACACATAACTATGAAAACTAATTTAGATTTGGTTTTGAAGTCCATTCAATTATTTTTTTTTACATCAAATCTACTTTAGACATTGTTTTTATTTCATTTTCATTGCTATAAAAACCAAAAAGTCAAACCTGTTGCCATGAAATAGATTCCGAGTCATAATGAACCCCTTGTGTTACAGAGAAGAACTGAGCTCCATAGGGTTTTCTTGGCTATAATCTCTACGAAAGCACATCGCCAGGCCTTTCTTCCAAGGTACCACTGGGTAGGTTCAACCTCCACCTTCCAATTACTAGTCGAATGCAAACCATTTGTGCCAATGTAGGTCTTCACTTTCTAGAATTAATACTTAATTAAATTGATAGGTGAGAGAAAACCCTGAAGCACCCGGAGAAACACACAAAACAGGTAACTAAGTTGACTGATACCCCAGAGCTGCTGATAAGATTTGGTAAAGACCTAATACATTAAAATACATAAAATTTGTTATTTTAAATGTTTTATGGTGTGTGTACTCACATGTACAGATAGCTACTTTCAAAATTAAGTCATTTCTGATGATAGAATCTTAAGGTAAATTATTTTTACAGTAGATTGCTTTTTAGATTATTTTTCTAATAAAATGTTAAATAATGCATCCTGAGGCAGTGTAATGTTTCTTGGCTCGGAAATGTAATAAAATACTTTGCAATTAATTACCCTTTATTGTGTTTTCTTATAAATGCCTACTGTGATAGGGTTCTTTTTTCCTAGTGCACAGTAAGCATGTTAACCATTTTTTAAATATTTATCTCACACTTAGTGAGACCCTTTGATTTAGTCAGATGCTTTTTAATTGTTCCAAGTTGACTATTCCTTTCAAAATTCTCACTCCTATTTCTTAAATCATATACTACATTTATTTCTGGGCACACAATACAAAAATCATCGAGGCGTTCTTTGACTATGTATTTTGTTTGATTTTTATTTTAAATACATTTTCTGGGGAAATGAGTAAGGTGTTGAAAGTCTGTTTGAAAATGGTATTTAAAGTGCATAAACTCTCAAAAAAAAAAAAAGTGAATGCCACTGGGTTAATTCAGACTCAGAGAGAGACTCCATTGGGTTTCTGTAAATGTTTACAGAAGTAGACTGCCTCACTGCCTCACCTTACTTCTACAGAGCAGCTGGTGGGCTCAAACCACTGACCTTTTGGTTAGCCAAATGCCTCTGCCATTACACTACCAGAGCTCCTTTAAATGCTGTTCTTCAGTTCTGTCGAATTGGCTCCAACTCTTAGCAACCCTATGTACAAAAGAACGAAATGCTGCCTGGTCCTGCCCGCCAGCCTCACAATCCTTGCTATACTTAAGCCAATCTTTGCAGCCATTGTGTCAGTCCATCTTTTTGAGGGTCTGCCCCCTTTTCGCTGACCTTCCACTTTACCAAGCATGATATCCTCCAGGAAATGATCCCTTCTGACATAACCAAAGTAGGAGACAAAGTCTGGCCATTCTCGCTTCCAGGAAGCATTCTGGCTGCACATCTTCCAGGACAGAATTGTTAATTGTGATACTTTCAGTATTCGCCAACACCACAACTTAAAAGCATCAACTTTTTTTCAGTCTTCCTTATTAATTATCCAACTTTCATATGCAAATGAAGCAATTGAAACCACCATGGCTTGGGTTAGGTGCACCTTAGTCTTCAAAGGGGAGCTCTGGTGGCGTAGTGCGTTCAAACCCACCAGCCACTCCTCGGAAGGAAGATTGGGCAATCCACATCCGTAGTGATACCGTCTCATAAACCCAAGGAGGGGTCAGTATGAGTTGGATCCAATTTGACGAAAGTGAGTTTGGTTTTCAGTCTTCAAAGAGACATCTTTGCTTTTCAGCACTCTAAAGAGGTCTTTTGCAGCAGATTTGCCCAGTGCAACAGGTCGTCTGATTTCTTGATTGTTGCTTTCATTGGTGTTGATTGTAGATCCAAGTAATAGGAAAAATTTGATTTTTCCACTTATTGTGATGCTGCTTATTGGTCCAGTCGTGAG